AGTTTTAGGTTGTGAATGGCTTCTCCACAGCCTGCAACCGGCATGTCACAGTTTCCCTTTTTGAACCAGGCACCGCCTGTTCCTCTTCTGCCTCTCTCGATCGTTGACAGCAGGCCACCCTGTTGCAGGTCTGTTGCCTATTTACAAAACAGGTCCTTCTGGTTTGGACCTGCTTACACACGACCCAATCCCTTAACTTTCGTAAATTGACAACTTTCATCCATGTCTTGACTTCTTCCTTCACTTTTGGTCTGACTTTTAAACTTATTTCAACCATCTATTTTTATTTAATATATATATATATATATATATATTCTTAAAATAAAATACTAATAAAGATAAATTATTTATTCCACAAATTTTTGGGTTTTACATCAACACCTATTAAAAGTCGTAGAACGAGTTCGAGAATGGTGTGTATATGCGACGTCTCGAACACTATTCTCCAATTATAGTGTTTTCAATATTTACTCTTTTAACCATGATCCCGATTGTGGCAATCGAATAATGTTAGCAGGAAGGATTCAAGTTAATCAAATCTTAAATGCTACTTTGTTGTTTTAAGATGGTTTTTGTTCTTTTAATTTATAATACTTTTTGTATTATATTTGTTTATTACTTAACCAGTTGATTTGTAATATGTAACAGGATCTCTAAAAATATTTAAAGAATCAAATAAAATAAATAATTAATGTAAAATGAAAGTACAAGTTCTAATGAGCAAATTACTAGTTATAGTTAGTGGACCATTTGAGGGATATAAAACATTCTTACCAATATTCAATAATTATCATCATTATTAATCTTAAGAATGTGAACAACTGATTATGATGTTTGAGCAAATGCTCTCATTAGGAGGGACTAAACTCAATGACTTTTTCCATTTTCCATTTCCCATTTTCCATATTCCATTCATATAGGTGTATATTTTTTTACTATAAATTTAATAATTACCATCTTAACAAAGAATTTACTTGTATTATTATATTTAAAATCGCTATTTTATCTGTTTCATAACTTGTTTTATATATCCTTCAACTTTAAAACATTAAAGATGATTTTGTTGGGAACCCTAGTGTTTGGATCAATTTACATGCAATTTCGACTAATCTTATACATTTAGACCTTTGTTTGTTTTTTTCATTTTAAGCTCTTACGCACCATTTATGTCTGATTTTCAAATTTAGACCGTTTGTTTTTTCTTTATTTTTAGAGTCTCTTATATCTTAATCAGGCTTGAACAAAAAGAGGTAACCTGATCTCTTATATCCTCTTAATCATTTACCACGTCTTCATCTAACATCACCTCCAGCGTTCTCTCAAGTTGAACCCTGCCTCCATTATCTTCTCTCAAATTGACCAAAATCAAGTCCAAATCAAACCCCTGCCTCCATCCGTGTGCATTTTCGTCCATGTGGGGTCTGGTCCCTATGGGTTCTCGTAGTTGTGTGTTTTCGTCCCTGTGCAGTGCGTTCCTTGAGGTATTTTCATGTTTTTGATTGTGTTCTTGTTTTTGATTGTGTTCTTGTGCTATCAAGATCATAGATTACTTGTTTTTGATTTCTCTCATGGGTTTGGGTCTTGAGGTCATTCCTATGGACCAGATTATGAGGGACAGTGTAGAGAGTTTGAAAACCAAATGGTTTATATCTTAAATAAGATCTGTTTAAAGATTATTACCAACTTTCTTGAATAATTGTAGCTAGTTATACTAATTTCCCCTTTTTTATGATGTGTATGAAATGTATGGCAAAAGAATTCTTGACTCTTTTTTTTTTTTTTTTTTCTCTATTTTATTTATAATTTTTTGGGGTGAACTAGTTAGGTTGTGGCATACTACTAGTTAAGGCTTAAGGGATGTATGTAAATCTAATCTTTTCTGAGTTGTAGCCATGAGGTTCACCTCCTATAACTCTAGGCCATTCATAATATCCGTATAAACTGATCTTGATACTCACAGAACGGTTCCCCAAAAAAAAGTTACTAGGAGTGAATAAGACCACAACTCTAGAATCATGTAAGTTGTAGAATAATCAATTACACATATTCAGACGTTTGTCAGTTTATAAAAACAAACTATTGATTCAAATTTCAGACTTTGGACGTTTGTCAATTTACAAAAACAAACAGTCTTATTGATTTAGATTTTAGAATTCAGCATCACTTTTTATAAATCAGAAGTAAAATAAGACTTCAGACTTCTTCAACAATTCTTAAAAAATGAATGCGACCTTAAACTAATATTTTGAAATGTGGAAAAATAAAAAAGGAAAGAAAAAGAAAAGCAAGTAATGATATGACTAGTGTTTGAATTAAGAAACAAACATGTGTGGTGTTATGACTCATACGTTATCCCCACCCTCTAAAACCTTCCAAAACCATTTCATTGCATTCATGACTTCCAATATAAGCATCAATTATTTCCACCAAAACTCATCATTCAAATATTTTTAGAAAGGTGATATTAAGTTTATTCTAATATATATATATATATATATATATATATATATATAAGCATCAATTATTTCCACCAAAACTCATCATTCAAATATTTTTAGAAAGGTGATATTAAGTTTATTCTAATATATATATATATATATATATATAAATATAAGGATTAGATAAAACGAGAACCATAAATATATTACAACACTGTGAGAGTCGATATACAAATATTTTTTTAAATGATATTTTTTCATCAAATATTAGTATTTAAGATATTGTTTCACATATACTTGTTTCATAATATGATAATTTCACATGTATCTGTTCCCATCACGTGAATATATATATCTTTTACGTGCATTTTTCATTTCACTAGATGAACCAATTTTTTTTTCCATATTTAATTTATTCACAAGGTGAACACAAATATATGTTAAACAATATCCTAAATCATGAGTTTTGATAAAAAAAAATCATGTAAAAGAATATTTTTATATCGATTCTTACGGATTTGTAATATATTTGTAGTCCTCATTTGATTATCATCCGTGTTTTTGGGGTTGTGTATTTTTTTTTTCTCAAATCCCTTTTCATAAGGGCATGTGAGTAAGGAATGAGATAAGAAATTAGGTGGTATATAAGTGACGAGAAGGTATAAATATATATATATTTTTTTTCCATAAAAAGTTATGATTTAAGATTTTGTTTCATATATATTTATTTTATAATATGATTGTTTCACATGTCTTTGTTTTATAATATGAAAATTTTTATGTATATTTTTTGTTTCACTGTGTGAACAAAAAAAAGTCACACATGTATTTTATTTAAGAATGTGAACACAAACATAACCTTAAATCATACAATCATGTAAAAAGTATTTTACATTGGTTCTCATTAGTTTATAATTTTTTTTTTCATTTGATTACATTTATATATACACACAAATTTTTTAGAATGTGAGAAAAAATCTCAACCATTAGATAAAAAATTTTAATGGTGAAAATCTTAAGGAGATAATATGTAAATATACACAAACTTATGACCAATTTAAAACACCTATTAAAGTTGAAGGGGCATTTTGAATTTTTTGTAAATTTAAATTACTAATTCACTCATATTTCAAAAAACCTACCCACTTTCTTTTTTAAATAAAAATTAGGTTACCCCATTTCTTTTAAATTAAATTATATAAACTATAATCAATATTTTATTTAAACAAATCATACAAAAATAACGAGAATATAATTATATTTAATATAAGGTATTATGTATTTTTTAAGATCCGCGTGTAAATCTTAAATTGATTATGAAAATCGGTTATAAGTTATAAATTGATTCATGTATACGTTATGATTAAGATCCACATGTTCATATATGAACCGATATAAACCTACTTATCATTGCCTAATAACGACTTGTGGGGATCTTTTGCGTTTGGTTACATCTCAAACCGATGAAGAATATCAATGTTCGTATTCACATATGAGATTCAAGCAAATGAGGATTTAATTCGATTTGTAGATTGTAAAATCGTCAATGATTTGATGGTAAATTATATCAAAAATGTATCATTATCAATATCCAAAAAAAGGTCTTAGATAAATTAGGATATTTATTTTTTTTCATAATTTATCTTAATCAACGAAAAAAATTCTTAAAACTTAAAATTTTAAACTAACAATAGAGATTGTCAAACATTTTTTTTATCAATTCCATGTTATTGTTAAATATTATTTGTTTAAAAAAACATATACGAGTTCAAAATAACGACAAATTATAGAAGTGGTTATATAAAACATTTCAAAGATGCGGATAATTTATGTATATTTATTAAAAATGAATTAGAAATACAAAAAAAGCTTTTGAAAAACTTGATCATGGAGTAAGTATTTGAAGATGGGTTTTTGTTTAGTGGAAATCTGATGTGACAAATAGATCAAATGTTTTTGTTATTAACTCTATGATTTTAAAAATTAAAATAACATATAGTACAAGTTACCAATGCATATTATTACTTTTTCTTTTCGTGTTTCCAAGATACTTTTGACACCTTTCACTCATGTCTTCACCATCTCATACCTCTATGTCTTCTCTCCCCAATGTGAGATTCAAATTGATATTCACCATGAGTTATTAAAAGTCTTTTCATTTATCTCTCATTCAATTACTCTAGAACTCTCGGTTTCGCTCTCTTGATTCTTTGTTCTTGGTGTAAATCGAACACATTTGTGGAGTCGTTTAAATATATTGGATTTTAAACTGTCATACAATTTTATTCATCGATAGACTGTAATTGAAACCATAACTCTTATTATATTCAAATTGTATTAATATGTAAAGACCAAGTGTAATTTATATCATCGTTAAATCTTCTTTAATAAAATCAATGAAACTTCAAAACCGTTAAATCTATGGCTCTCATCGCATTGTACAAATAGACAACCAATAAAGTGAAAAAGAAACATATGATTTTAGCATGTGCATACTTTTGAGACATATTGTGGGGTATAATTTATAAAAGAGCATACAACACAATCATTTGTCGCCATTCACAAACAAAAAACACAGAGTCAAGCCAAAAGACAAAATTGCCCTGTAAATTTGTGATTTTGTAAACTACAACAAATATCCACAAAAGGGTTAAAAATAGGAACCCTAGAAATATTCAACTCGACACCAACAGAAAACATCTCAAAACCAAATACAACCAAAAGTATGGGTCCTAAACCTATATCAAACAAAAGGCAAAATGCTATCGCCAAAGATCCGAATTCTTGCCCTTTCCGGATCCAGATCTGGGTCGGATTTAGCTCCATATACTCCACGGGTTTCTTTTGGATCTGAATTTTCCGATATTCGTCTTTGCCAGCAGCATTTTGCCCTTTTCATTCCAATTCTTCGTGGCCTTCCGAAGGACACCGAATCAACTCGAGAATCTTGATCACCTCTTCCATATCGGGACGATTGGATGGCACCTGCGATGCACACACCAAACCCAGCTTAATTACCGAAATACACTCATCGATCGGAAAATCGGCCTTCAACTTTCGGTCAACGCATTCCTCGGCTCGACCACCGTCCAACACTCCTCGAACCATATCACACAAAACGACCACATCGTCCTCCATATACTCCACGGGTTTTTTCCCCGTAACAACTTCAAGTACCAAAATCCCAAACCCGTAAACATCACATTTCTCGGTTATTTTCACCGTTTGGCATGCGAATTCGGGAGCTACATACCCGAGAGCGCTCTGAATCTTGCTGCTAAGAACATGACGGTCTAGCGACGGTAGCAGCGTCACCAAACCGAAGTCTCCGACTTTGGCTTCACCTGAGCAATCGATCAAAACATTGGTCGATTTCATGTTGTAGTGAATCACATTCATCCGGTGCAAATGAGCCAAACCCCGAGCCGTACCGAGTACGACATCGAACCGCTCTCGCCATGAGAGGGTATTTTCGGAATTTCCTTCGTGAAGATGCTTATACAAGCTTCCACTCGAGACGTATTCGTTGATCAAAAGTTGTAAAGATGGAGTCCAATAATACCCTTCGAGTAAAACAAGATTTGAATGCCGGATCATCCCGAGCTTCTTTACCTCCCGATCAAAATCTTCTCGAGACTTGATTAAACCGGGAACGTGTAACTTCTTGATCGCAACTGACCGACCATTTCTGAGCGCCGTCCAGTAAACCACCCCGAACCCGCCACGCCCCAATTCACAGTCCTTGTTAAGCAATGCATGGGTCCCGGAGACAAACTCGGCGTCACCGGTGAACATCACGAGTTTCCCGTAATCAGAGCTCGGCGAGCGGGTATGGCTGAAATCGTCTCCACCGGAAAATGTGAGGGCCACCGCGGCAGATCGTGAAACTGAGTTCCGGACATGGAGGTTGAGTATTGTAACAACAATCACGCCCAACGCGATGAATACAGCAGCACCGATGGCAATAATGGCAGAGATACTAAGTATGATTCGTTTATGACTGAGGTTCAGCGAGGAGGACCCTTTGTCAGAATGTGACGGGTTTGGGTTCAGGACTATCGGCTTCGGGTGTGCACCGGGGCATGATTGGTTCACGATCGACCCGCATAGGGACGGGTTATCTGAAACCGAAGAAAGCGGTATCGTGTTGAAAAAACCTCCGAGAGGAAGTTCGCCTTCAAGATCATTATGGGATACGTTAAACGTTACGAGATTCGAGAGGTTTGTGAGCTCTTTGGGTAAACTTCCTGAAAGATGGTTGAACGATAAATCAACCGACTCAAGCTCCACTAAGTTCACGATCCTGACCGGGATTGAACCGGTAATGTTGTTCTGAGCCAAGATCCTGCAAGTGAGCACGATTAAGAACATTATAGAGAAGATTTACAACATTTGTTGCAAATGGTAAATCATCTACAAAGTATTACACTATTTTTATACCAGAAAAGAATAATGCAACCTATATTTATATTTACATGATAGACGAAGAATTGTGCGAGAATAAAAGTTAAGATGAGGAGCCTAAGAAAGGATCTAGAGCCTTCATCACTTCTAATCTCACCCCGCCCCATGAATTGCGCTTATCACGAGAATTAATCCGGTGCATCTCGGTGCACCACATTATTGCCGATCTTCGATTAGCATTTGATCGAAGGGTGGGAAATCCTTTCTTATCCTTCTCACCATGACTTCTATTCTTACAGAACCCAATCCTTAGACAATAATTAATTTGAACCAAATTTGATGTTTTACTAAAATAATAATAGACAGTAACATACGAAGACTTACAGGGTGCGTAAAACCGAACAGTTTTCGATCTGGGCCGGAATCGACCCAGTCAAGAAGTTACCATCGAGGCGTAGTTCGTTCAATAGAGCCGCTCCACCGATCTCAGCAGGAATGCTGCCATTGAGCCAATTGTGGCTTAAATCGACCACATTCGCAGCTTTTAAACCTCCCAAACTTGGGGGAACAGAACCAATTAAGCCATTAGAGGACATATTCAAGAACACCAAGCTACTAAAATTTCCGATTGATAACGGGATCACGCCGGAAAATGAGTTGGAAGATAAATCCAAGATTTCAAGAGTATCAAAAGCAGCAGCAGTTTCTTCACCAAATTCAACAGTCCCAATAAACTGGTTGCCCGAAAGAGAAACACCTTTCAACCTTAAGCTAAATGCCCAAACAGGAATGGTTCCGGTCAATAAATTCCGGCTAAAATCAACGACGGTTAGGTTTAGACACTTTGCCAATGATTCCGGCAAGTTCCCAGTGAATTGATTTAACGAAAGATTCAAACTTTTCAATGATTCAAGATCACCAAATGAGGCGGGAAACGAACCTGAAAAGTTATTAACAGAAAGATCCAAGAATTCAAGACTTTTTAGACTTCCGATCCACTCTGGGAGCTCTCCGGCGAAGTAATTCCCTCTCAAATTAAGCACATTGCATAAACTAAGCTTCTGCAGAGATAAAGGCATGGTTCCAGTTAAATAATTATCACTGAAATCAACTGATTTCAGCAACAAGCATTCTCCGATCTTCTCCGGCAACTCACCGCTGAAATTATTGCTGCTGAAGTTAAAAACCCTTAAATCAAACAGAGTCTCGATCTTTTCTTTTGGGATTTCGCCTTCAAGAAAGTTATTTGATAAATCGATTGATCTTAAGGAAGTCAATAACCAGATGCTTTTTGGTAATCCACCTGATAACTGATTGGATGAAAGATCAACATTTTGCAAAGTCAAACAGGAAGAAATTGAATCAGGGATTTGACCAGTTAACTTGTTCTTGGCTAAAGAAATGGTTCTAATTGACCCACATTGGATGAACAGTGGTTCGGGTATGGACCCGAAGAAGCCGTTTTCACTCAAATCAATCACTTGTGAGTTCTTAATGATTTGTGTTAAAATGGGGTTACTGATAAACCCAGTGAAATTGTTTCTAGAGAGAGAAAGTGTATGAAGAAACTGTAACCTCAACAAGCCTTTGCTGATGTGACCCGAAAGAGATAACCCATCTAAATGGAGCTCCGTGACCCGATTGGAATACGGGTCGCATGTAACTCCGAACCATTTGCAAGGACTGTCGTCTTCTTCCTTCCATGTTGAGAGCTTAAAATAAGGGTCTCGTATGTCTGCTTTAAACACCATAAGACCCAAAACGTCGTCGTTAAGGGCTACATTCAGAGAGTTGGCCGAAAGAATCGTCTCCGACGATAACAACAACAGAAGAACAGCAGCAATCAGTTTCGTCCACATTTTTGGTTTCTGAATAATGGGGAGGGGGATCTAAATGGGCATGGAAGGTGTTTGAAGGAAGTCCTGAAAGAAGATTGGATACATCAGAAGGTTGAAATTGAGAAAAAAGAAGAAATGAATCTATGGCGGAAACGAGAAGAGAAGGTGGAGGAGATAGAGAGAGGAAAACGGCGAAAGAAAAGGGGTTGTCTGGTCTGGTGTGTGGAAGTGTGCCGTCTTTATGGGTGGTGGAGTTATTGGTGATGATGGATGCCGGAGGGAGGAGACCCCTTTCTTTTCCTTTTTTTCCATTTCTTCTTGTACAAACACACTTTATTATTTTCTATTTAAATAATTTATTTTAAAATAAATATTTTTATTTTTTGTTGTTCTATTTTTTGTTATAAAGATGAGATAATTATTTAGTTGATTAAAAAAATATAATAATTAATTATATAATATTATAAAACATTTGATAAAAATCTTAAAAAATATTTGTTATACATGAATTATTTTTTATTAATGCATATTACTTAAAATTTAAGAATACAAGTAAATTGTACGTAAGTACAATTTATTAAAACTTCATTTTTGAATTCGTATAATTAACTGCAGATAAACATAATCAAATATAGGATAAACATCTTATTTTAAATATAAAAAATCTGATATATAATTAGAACAATAATTGAGTTCTAACGGAATCATTATCTTTATAAAAATTATATTGTTAAGTCAAATATAAATTATTTCGTTATTAGACCTAAATTAAATTATAATAAAAAATTAAATTAATGAAACTATACAAAAAAGAGAGCTTTTAAATTATTAATTTGACATTAATATCGATATACTTTTTCAAAAAAAAATTTAATATCTTCAGATTAATTTTTATTCAAAAGTAAAAACATTGTCTTTCTCAAAACCACATAAAGTGTAGTATATCAACAAAGAAAAAAAAAATAAAATAAAAAGTTAAAATAAAAATGTATCTTGTTACATTACATAATTATTCTTCTAATTTTAGGTTTGATGGCATACGACATTTTAAAAACTTAAGAGTTAATGTTTTAAAAGAAATACATAATATTTTAAAAAAAACATATTAATAAATTTATTTAAGAAGTGAAAAAGAAAGTGAAAAGAGGAGTGAGGAAGAATTTGAATAGGTTGGGAAAAAGTGAAGAGCAGTAATGAGTCATGAGTAATGAGCGTGTCTGGTGGGGACTGCATTAACTCCAACCCAATTCTTTTTTCTTTTTTAAATATTATGTATATAATAAAAAAGTAAAATATACAAAAACATATGACATGATGATGGTATTTCACACCCTCATGCCCATCGCATCATCATGTTGTCAAAACATTCTACATCTCATCATTTTTATTCCTATCTAAATACCATATCAATTTCATTTCAAAACAACCACTCACCAAAACCCAACCTTTTTTCTTTTGCTTCGTTTATATTTATTAGAGTATTTACATCAGTTATGTTAAAATAAAAAAAATAAATATTTTAGCAGTTTTTTTGCTTCAACAGCTATATTATCATCTATGTTAAAATAGAGAAAAGATGATAGAGATTATGAAAATATCTAGATTTAAAGAAATCTCTTATAATAATTTAATTATATTCAGTCAGTTAAAGTTATTGAAATAAAATGTGTAGGAGAGAAAAATAATATACATATTTAAATAATAAAAAATACAGTTTAAAAAAAGAAGATATGTAATTAGGAATAAAAACAAGAGTTCCCTTTGTTGGGTAAGGGTAAAATGAAAGAGAAAGAGTCAAAGGTAAAGTCAAACAAAATCTCACTGCTCCTCTTTTGGTGTTTTCACAAAATCCATACTTTCATGTCTCATTTTTTGTTTTTATTTGTTACATTTTTCTTTCTTCTACTTGTATCCATCCAAACACATATCTTATTTTGACCTTTTTCCAATTTTATAAATTCTTTAAATAAATAAGAAATTGAGTCCAAACCTTTCTCATAATTAGGGATACTCAAAAACCCGATCAATCCAACCCAACCCAACCCAACACAAAATAACTCAACCCGAAACAATCTGATGTCTAATCGAATTGTAAAATTGTCAAACCATAGGTATTGGATTGATATTGGGTTACTATTATTTGAACCTGATATCCTTTTATTTCTTAGATTTAATATGATTGTTAAATTTATATTAATATGTACATTAGACAATTACACTATTATGTATACTCCTCATATACACATTTTTAATCTATTCATATATTTATATAACTCATTCGTATATATGTTCAGTAACTGTGAACATATATATGTAAATTAAAAAAAAATTAATTGAATGTGATATACGTAAGAAGTGTGGATAATTTGTATCAAATGGTTGATGATGAAAAAAAAATTATGAGTAAAGAAATAACATATTCCAGGTTAGAAATATAATTTTAATGTACCAAAGTATCAACCCAACTAACCCAACCAACCCATACGGATAGGGTTGGGTTGAGTTAAAAAATTTCAAACCGCAAACATTAGGTTGAGTTGTTCAAATGTCTTCAACCCGATCAACCCAACCCATAAACACCCCTACTCATAACCATTGCCATTAAACATTGAATAAAAGTATCATACAACAAATTGGTTATTAAACAAATAGCATATAATTTCGCAAACCGACTTTAAATATCTCCATAAAAAACCAAAAAAGATGCCTCTCGCTTGCGATTATAGCCTACCATCTAGCTAAAAAATAAGTAATTTAGCAAAGGAAAATCTTGACTGGTTATGACTAAAATTTTAGTCATCAAAATAGCATTGAATGCAACCATTTCCCTGATAAATACCAAACGGGAAAGAGTAGCCTAGCAACCCGACTTGTCGAGTAAGAATCTTAAGATTCTTGATTTTTATCATATTCATCCGGTGAGATAATGTGACTTGGTAAATGCTTATCAGATAATAAACAACCCTTTATTTTTGCATTTTCAATATATGATATAACTTGATTTTAACATAAATAAAAATAATTAAAAAAAGGGGATTGGATTAGGGGTGGGGGTCTGCACAAGTACATGGGGTTTGGGCGTAAAGGGCGGAGACAGACAGAGAATACAACAAAAAGCAAACAAATTAATTGCGTCGTAACGTTGCAGTTAATTTGGTTTTAAATAACGCCCCACCCACACATCTCCATGCTTCATAGTCAACTTCTTATTATTTTATCTTTTATTTTTTTTTCTAAATTATGTATTTAATTCAAAAATACCCCTTCCTCCCAAAAATATGTATTTAAAAGAAAAACCATCTATGTTAACTTCATCTGATAAGGTAAATGACTTGATAAACACTCACCCAATTTGATACACCACAAGAAGATATACAATGGAGGATATTTTAAGTAATTTGTTTGACGATGTTGATAATAATACCAGATGAAACATACCTCAAAAGCCAACTCGTTTACATACATTAGACAATATCAAATTAGACACGACAAACGAGCATACCATCAAGAATCTTAAAAATGTTTTTTTTCCGGAATTTATCACTGTCCAACGAATAAATTGTTTGAATCTAGAACATAACATCTCCGAGTGATGCTTTTTGTTGCCGTTTAGATGTCTCTAAGAGATCCGTGAACCGAAACTTCTCCTTCACCATCCAAGGGCATGTATTGCGCCATGATGGCCCGGATCTCCGAATCCATGTATCTCTGCATGTGAAATATTAATATACCAACATCACCACAAGTTTATCAGGGTGAAACACACGTCTGCTAGAGTCGAGGGTCAGCTTAACTAGTCGGATCTTGAATTTGCTCAATCGAGGGTACAAGTTCAAGTTTCCTCAAGGCCACTAGAGAGTTTGCCTAATTGTTAAATTTAGAGAATCTCCGATAGATTCTTTATAATATATTTAAGATGGAGTATCAAAAGCTAAAATCTTTAAAAAAATTACATTGAACTCGACATATACTCTATTTTCGAGATTTCAACATTACTTATATTACTAGAATGTTGGATATATTTAATATCCCTACAACTTTTACATGGAATGCAAAGAAAATTCAACTTAATTGATGGGAAGAATAAAAAATAATTTAAAGTATTAGGGGGTGTTTGGGATTGTTTATTTGAAACAACTTATATTTTTCTCCAAAAGCACTTATCAACTTATTATAAGTCATAAGGGTTTAACTTTTTCAAAAACTTTTTATTACCGGTTTGGCACCGGTATAAATTGTTTATCCAAATACTCAAAAGTGATTATTAACAGTGTCACACTGGAATAAGTCAATAAGTTGTTTTTATAAGCAATCCCAAACACCCCCTTAAGTTATGTTTTTAGTCTTTTTGTTTGTTAAAAAATTGCGATTTTTGTCCCCATGGTTTAAAAATTGCGTTTTCTTCCCTATGGTTTGTAGTTAATTGCTATTTTTCGTCCTTATGATTTATAATTCATTTTTGTTTTGGTACTTGTGGTTCATAACTTTTTACTATTTTGGTCCCTTGTAGTTAAAGGTAAGAATTAGTTCAGGAACGAAAATAATAATAAGTTGCAAACCATTGAGATAATTTCTAAACCACAAAGACGAAAATAGAAATTATTGACAAACCACATGAATGAAAATTGTAATTTACTCAAAAAAAAAATTTGGTCAACATTAAATTTTAAAAAATTCTATAAATTTGAATATTTTTACATTCTTCCTTGGTTTTCTCTGTTTTTGGGAACTTTTTTAAAAATCTTCTGGAAGCAAGAAAAATATTCAAAATTTTCATTTTTTATTTTAAAGAATCTACTGAAGATGTTCTTAGCACCCATAGAATTAGTATGGTGCATGCAAACTGGTCCAGACAACCATAGTTACCCAAAAAATCAGATTAACCTGAAAAATGGTGAGTAAGAATATAAATTGAAGGAGAAAACGTAAAGCGTACCCGAACCCTGTACTTGTAGAGCGTATATCCTACGACTCCAATAGCTGCCAAACCAAAAACAAACCCCCAACCGAAACCCCAACCAGCACTCGTATTATCATTTTTACCTATATCCCAACGAGCAATTACCATATCAAATCAAACGAACTAATTAGTATATCCCAACCAATAAGCAACTGTGACTACTACATGTGCAGAAAAATTACGGAAACTAGTTTTGAAACGTAATAAATTTGAATTTCTTCATGAACTTTTTATGGGACGAAGAAATATTATTTCAAATCAAACAAACTCAATAAATCTCACGCGGAGTAGAGTTTGAGATGGAAAGTTGAATACTCACTTAGACAAGTGTCGTGTTCTTTAAAATAGAGCAAATTAGCCGTGCAGCTACACTCGTAACTTCCCCATGTATTCTTGCATTTGCACTCACGACAGTTGCATATCATGTTCTCTTTGCATTCATCGATATCTGAATGAGACACGGTGAAATTCATAAAATAAATAACTAGATTGACTTTCAAAAAACACAATACAAATGCCCATATAATGACAATGGCTGCATCAAGGCCCTTCGGATTTGCAGAAAAATTGTTTGCCTGAGTTGAACGCAAAAAAGAGTAACCTCATGGGTTGCATAACATCATGAATTACTGAAATTCTTTTTGAGGAAGGGGAATAGTACCTTCGCAACTATGAACTCCGTCTCCTATGAATCCCGGTGGACACCGACAACCTTCCGTATGTCCGTCCTTAATGATAAAATTTAGCGATTTTAATCCGTAGAAGCTATAAATACAAAAAGAGCCAAAAAAAAAAAAGATACATTTATCATTGCTGATACCTAGAATCTTCAAATCCTGATACACATACTAATACACACCCATATATAATATAACTAAATCATACCAAATGAACCTATTCTTTAGGGTAAGAGTCACACAAGTCTGGTCTCCATATACGTCTTACCATCCCACCTCTAGGAATATACTAGGCTCATTTGGTATGATTTAGTTATATTATATATATATATATATATATATATGTGTGTGTGTGTGTATCAGGATTCGAAGATTCTAGGTGTTACATATATATAGGGTTGCGTTCCGTTGAGAATGTAAGTTATGGTTAGAAGGGTAAGAAGGGATTTCCGACCTTAAATCAGACATAATTGCAGATTAACACTAATAAGATGCACCGATATGCATGAGATCAATTCCCATGATAAGAGCACTTCATGGGGTGTAAATTAAAAGTGATCAAGGGTTTAGATCATTTCTTACGCTTCTCACTTTAACTCCTATTCTCACATGATCATTTGTGTGTGTGTATATATATATATATATATATATATAGAGAGAGAGAGAGAGAGAGAGAGA